CAGGGTGCTTACTCTTGGCAAGTTAAGGGTTCAGGTAGAAGCTGTGTTTAGACAAGGGGACCAGAGAAGGGGAAGGTTAGAGTTGTTATAATTGTGTTCCAATACTTTTCATGAATTTTCTTTGGGATTACATCAAGTATTTCAAAGATAACATAGATAAGAGGGTATCTGGTGTAATGGACTGTCCTGGGGTATGATGATGGATGTTTATTTAAACACTGAAATAAAGGTAATCCTGGTGTGTTTGTTTTATTCAGAGGAAGACAAACAGGCATTAACTGTTGTAATAATAAACGGCCGACCCAGTCTGTTATCTGTAGGACTCAAATGTACAGAACACCCTAAAGGAACCACCAAACAGCCTAATATATGGCTTAACCATCACCACCCGACATTGTGTATAGATTCATGTTTATTTACGACAAATGGTCATTGTTATTCTATGGTAGGTTTATTGCCTGAATTTTATTGAAATGGACGTAATAAAACAGCCAGGAAACAGCTCTGTCAGCAAGAAAGATAAAATTAGCCTTCTATATCTTATATCTTTCAGTTCGAATGTATGCACACTCCAAATAATGCACTTATAAACATGCCGTCTTGTTTGTGACACACAAGATTGGAGCATTCTATAGCTTAAGCTGTGTCCTTTATGATGGTAATAAAAGAAGGTGCATAAACGTCCGTAATACACTGGTGCCCCTGAACATTTCATGGTGTGCTCATGATCATTCACCCCTGAAGACACATTTGAACTCTTCCAATTCAAAGGTTGGAACATTATGAAACTTCGGGGGTGAATGAGTTAAGACTTGTACCTGTGTTAGACCAAACTATTAGTAATCAACAATAACTGACAGGTAACTATGTAAAAGTATATAGTATTGTTATAGACGTGAAATTCTGTCAGTTCTTATCAGGATTGAGAGAACTAATCCTAAAGCCATTAGTTTAAGGTTGATAAAATGTGAGATCTATAACAGGTACTAGCCTTGCCAGCACATAAAGGGCAGTGGATTGTTTAGTCAAATCTTTCATATCATAATGTAAAGGTCTGGATAATTTTTAACACTCGTACAAGTTTCTTAACTCATACACCCCTAAAAATACATTTGAGCTCTTCCAACTTAAAGGTTGGAATAGTTCATTATGGAATTTCAGGGGTGAATAAGTTAAGTTTTTCCTTTTAAGGCTGGCAACTGGCTGTCTGCTATTTATTATCTTGTTATTTTATTTTGAAACATGAAGCAAAACAAATTCGTATAAAATGTGACATATGACAGAACAGTGTAGGTAGTACAGGAACTGATAATAGTGTACACTAACATCGCTATAGATGGTCACTCAGTATTTCCTATATATATACTCTCAGGTCTTATTAATCCAGCCACAGCTTATCTCTTAATATCCCAAGACCCAGGCATTGTTTAAGGGGATAGATTGGACTATTCCTATACAAAAGAGTCCAAGTATTTCGATCGTCTCATAATCCAGCACCTTTTACTGTAAACAAAGGTATCGCTGGATTATATCATGGCTCCAGTGTATATGAATCTTGGCCTTAGTTTCTTTGCTTATTAACAATACATAAATAATTTACCAATAACATAGATTATACTCAATATCACATTCAGAAAATAACATATGTTGTTGCAAACATATTTTAAGCTGTGAGGCAAAAATGTCCTGACTATAGAGGTTCACTGTATATATCTGTCACCTTACCAAAGCCAATGGGATCTTGTCTTTATCCTGTCTCCCAATAGGAAGATTATCAGATGGGGCAAGACCTTAAACTAAATATTTCCCCCTAGAAAACTAGAGTGAGGAATCGTTATAAGTACAGTAACATTACCTACCTCTGCGAGGATGCGTTCTTTCTCCTGTTTGATCTGTAGTTCCATCTCCTCGTACAATTTTCTCACTTCTTCATCATGTACCAAAGATTTACTGCAAAGTTAAATCAGATTGCTTTAGAATGTGATGAAGAATATGATGTAAGTCCCAAAAGCTGTAAGTCTGCCTTCTAAATCTGTCTTCTAATGCACACAGATCGGTCCCCACACATTAAGTGCACACTGTTTAGTGACAAGGTTTTCTACAGCAGTGTATAGACAGACCATGGTGTTAGTCCACGATAAAATGTAAACATTCCATTAGTTACACAGGAAACTCCCCGTAGAAAAGTCCCCACTGAACTGGTGTGGTGTACACAAACGTGCACTATTTATTGAAATAATGGCCCTATGGGAAGTGATACACCGCAAAAAGTGACAGTCCCTCATAAAGTAAATCCACAGTCACTGTATGGGAGGTGATTCACAGAGAAAAGACAGTCTATATCAGCAATCACTGTATGGGAGGTGATTCACGGAGAAAAGACAGTCTATATCAGCAATCACTGTATGGGAGGTGATTCACAGAGAAATGACAGTCTATTTCTCCCATGCTTCACAGGTGTGTCTCCCGTTTTAGCCAGGAAAGATCAGCTTGTCACCCTCTAGGGGGAGATAGCCTCGTGCCGATTAGCACGTGTTCAATTGTGACGTCATTAAAATGCGTCACCGGTAATTGTGACGTCATCAAAGGTGAATGACGATATTCATACCCCACGTGTTTTTGTTTACACTACTGTCGGTGGAGTTTTGACTGAAATAATAGGATGGGAGAAAAATAATCATCCCCTACATTAAGGGTGTAACAGAGAAATCTCCAACCCTCGGGGTGATTTTTTTAGTTGTCTTACCCTCGACAGAGCCTCGGGTTAGAAAACAAAAAATCATCACCCCTCAGTTTTGGAGATTTCTCTGTTACACCCCCAGGGTAGGGGAAGATTCTATTAATCAACAATCATTGTATGGGAGGTGATATCAACAATCACTGTATGGGAGGTGACATCAACAATCACTGTATGGGAGGTGATACACAGAGAAATGACAGTACATGTACATGTTTGGGAAATAATGAACACACTGGTATATACCGTATACTCAGTGTAAGTCACAGTCCTATTAATCACTGTTTGTGGGAGTGAAATGGGAAAATATATGACAGTCAGACCAGGATTCAAACCAAGGACCCCCAAGCCATGCAGACAGATGCTCTATAAAGCTGTGCACAGATATACACTTGACCTAGTCCAGCACAGCTACAGGAGTTAATATACACAGGACAGAGCTGTACTATGACAGAAGTGGTTACAAGTTGAAGGAAAGCTATTGACAGACCCTCAAGATTAAGTTTGTATCTACCTGGAAATCCCCAATGTTTCACGTGAATGATTGAGTTAATCTCAAGCTTTCACTAAACAGAAGGGGCACACACTTTATGCCGAGATGTTTAATCTCAATGACAATAATATTTATTGTCATAACAACGTGAAAGATGCTACGGTAAAAAATGTATCAATGAATCCAGAAACCTATTAGACTGGCAATACAACAAAATATCCTTACAATAAACATTTACATGATATATGAATGTCATGCATCACACAGTACAGTTGGTGCTTTATTTTATGTCATGTATAATTGACTCAGTGCTATATTTATGTCACATGGCATTGACTCAGTGCTTTATGTCATGTGCCATTGACTCAGTGCTCTAGTAATGTCATATAATATTGACTCAGTGATCTATGTCATAAACTATTGACTCAGTGCTAAATTTATGTCAAGTACCATTGACTCAGTGATCTATGTCATGTGCCATTGACTCAGTGATCTATGTCATGTGCCATTGACTCAGTGATCTATGTCATGTACCATTGACTCAGTGTTATATGTCAAGGACCATTGACTCAGTGATCTATGTCATGTGCCATTGACTCAGTGATCTGTCATGTACCATTGACTCAGTGATCTATGTCATGTACCATTGACTCAGTGCTCTGTCATGTACCATTGACTCAGTGATCTATGTTATGTGCCATTGACTCAGTGATCTATGTCATGTGCCATTGCCTCAGTGTTCTATGTCATGTCCCATTGACGCAGTGTTCTATGTCATGTACCATTGGCTCAGTGTTTTATGTCATGTACCATTGAGTCAGTGATCTATGTCATGTGCCGTTGACTCAGTGTTCTATGTCACGTACCATTGACTCAGTGATATATGTCATGTACCATTGACTTAGTGATCTAGGTCATGTACCATTGACTCACTGATCTATGTTATGTGCCATTGACTCAGTGTTCTATGGCATGTACCATTGACTCAGTGTTCTATGTCATGTACCATTGACTCAGCGCTCTATGTCATGTACCATTGACTCAGTGTTTTATGTCATGTACCATTGACTCAGTGTTATATGTCATGTACCATTGACTCAGCGCTCTATGTCATGTGCCATTGACTCAGTGTTCTATGTCATGTGCCATTGACTCAGCGCTCTATGTCATGTACCATTGACTCAGTGTTCTATGTCATGTACCATTGACTCAGTATTCTATGTCATGTACCATTGACTCAGTGCTCTAAGTCATGTACCATTGACTCAGTGTTCTATGTCATGTACCATTGACTCAGCGCTCTATGTCATGTACCATTGACTCAGTGATCTATGCATGTACCATTGACTCAGTATTCTATGTCATGTACCATTGACTCAGTGATCTATGGCATGCACCATTGACTCTGTGCTCTATGCCATGTACCATTGACTCAGTGTTCTATGTCATGTACCATTGACTCAGTGCTCTATGTCATGTACCATTGACTCGGTTTTCTATGTCATGTACCATTGACTCAGTGTTCTATGTCATGTGTCATTGACTCAGTGCTCTTAATGTCATGTACCATTGACTCAGCGCTCTATGTCATGTACCATTGACTCAGCACTCTATGTCATGTGCCATTGACTCAGTGCTCTTAATGTCATGTACCATTGACTTAGCGCTCTATGAAATGTGCCATTGACTCAGTGCTCTATGTCATGTACCAGTGACTCAGTGCTTCATGGTCTATGTGATCTGTCTATTTTTCAATAGTCCACTTGTCACTCATCTTACTGTTCGTACCTTTAGCTTTATGTAATGTTATGACACATCACTTCATTACATTCTGATTGTTGACAGCAAACATGTGGGAGAAGATAACAAAGCCATTTACTGGCACAGATCCCCTGTCCATAAACTAGCATGTTTTGTTGTGTGATGCACAAGTCGTACTGAAACACAACATATTTTTACTTTGAAATCATCAATGGTCCCAAAATGATCTGGAAAGGAAAATGATTCAGACTGCCTGGTTAACGGTGGGAGGTATGGAGAGCTGAGTGAGGTTCAAAGTGAGAAAAATTATGAACAAGAAGGGGCTGCTGAAGTCTCTGTACTCCCCCTCCCATATTCACTACTGGTACGATAAAAAGGAAACAAAAAAGTTTGGTTTTTTATCAAGGTTTTCATTGGTTTTTCGCTGACCAGCTGGAGGACCATACAATTCACACCCGATTAAACTTTTATGATAATGCTGTATAGGTCATACAGTAAGTGTAAAGGTTAGACAACAATGCTGAACATGTCATACAAACTTAGTATATACGTCATACGAAAATAGTTCATACTAGAGGATGGAAACCAAGCACAACGATCAATTAATAAACCTCTGTCGAGGAGACACCATGAACAGAAATAAACAAATGAGAGAGAATGAAAAGAAAATATTGTTTTATGATATAACGACTGTAATTGTAGCATAGTGATTTTTCTCTAATCTGAAATATTCCCATTATATAGCCACCGACTCAGTTTCGATTTCAGTATACTTTTATAAAGGAGTCTGATCATGTCAGCCAGCCACTTTCAATTATTGTTAAATGGTTTAGTTTCTAAATATGTCTACTGATGACGCTTAAATCATTTCTTACTGGTACAAAACAGTATCACTAAATGACTGGAGAAGTCATGTTCAAATGCAATCTTATTTGAGCAGCCATATCAATGAATTATTGAAGCATCTTATTTTGGGCCTGTGAATTGTTACCGTTCTTATTTAAGAATGACTGGACACAAATCACAGCACACTATAATGGGTATTATTGATTCTTAAACAATATATAGGTCATTATATATATATAATATAATGGGTAATATGATTCTGGAGTGTTTTTTTTTACACACATGCTTTACTTGTAATGTATATGATATAAGTATACATAACCATACTGTGTTACAAATATACAAAGTATGTTTATATGATTATGATGTAACCATACAATATTCATTGTGAATTTATAACATAACCATACATTATAATTGTTTCTAGAATATTATCATGATATATTTATATTTATAATATTACCATATAATGTAATGTACCAGTATTATATTTATAACATTACTGTACATTATATCTATAACATTACCATACCTTATATATATAACATTACCATACATTATATCTATAACATTACCATACATTATATCTATAACATTACCATACATTATATCTGTAACATTACCATACATTATATCTGTAACATTACCATATGATAGCGGCCATCTGTGGAATCAGGCAAACTATATCTGTAATGATATTAACACACTAGAAACTTTATAGCAGTAAACAACGACTGGTTGATCTGATTGTGAGGTAGAACATCAGCTGTTTGTGGTTTGTGTCTGTAAGTGTAGAGTAGTTTATATATGTAGAGGTTAGCCTGGAGGACAGTTCCTACCTAGCTATCTGATCACATGTTAATTAGTCTGCCAGTCATAATTACAATGCATCAATCAATGTATCTCATTAACATCGTGTCACCAACTTATAAAGCACATGTAATTAAAATATTTAGACACGTTTTAATCATTTCAGGAAGTTCATGAACTTTCACAATTTAACAAGTCTACAGAACTGCCTGAGGTAACATTATATTACAATATCACACACATTCTATAATACAGAACTGCCTGAGGTAACATACATTATCACACCCATTCTATAATACAGAA